GAATCAGAGCTGCTGGATAATGGGAAAAGGTCTTTTTTGTGATACTTGAGTAATCTTTTAAAAAATACACTGATGAGTCATTTCTTGTGTGTTGACCATACTGTGCTTGTTTTTGAATGATTTTTCTCCTCTTGCATTCATGGGCGTTGTAAAGATCACCATGACCGTCCCTCCACCATTGGTGATCGTGGACCGTCCACAGGAGCACTGGGCAGCCGTGAACACAAACAGAGCAGAGCACTTAGCTCAGCCACTGTGTCTGTCTGAATGCTACTCTGCTCCTGGCCTGGTCCTCGATTCTAATTTTGATCCAGAAACAATCCCTAAGTCAGCCTGTAAGATACAGACTGACCTGGAAGTCTGGCCCTGGGTTTCCGAAGCTTCCAGATAAGCTGGAGCCAGTGGGTTTCTAGGGAGTCCTGGACAAGATGTGCTTATTTCCTAATTCAGAAGTGATTTTTTTCTTTGTCATTTTAGATTTCCTGCCCAGGGTGGGTTTCAGGGCAGTATTTATGAAGACATTTGTCTCGTTGCTTTTGGTAATTCTCTTAAATCATTTAACTTCACAAATATCACTAATAGCCACTTTCCTGTTATTACTTTTGTTCAGATGCCCTAGATTTGGAAACCAGTAACTGGACTGTAAGTTTCTTTAGGGTGTGGACAGGGTGTTTTACATTTTGTATTCCTGACACCCACCGCAATGCCTAGGGTAGAATAACTTCTTGATAAAGGTCCACGTCTAGAACATGTGGCTGAGTAAGTGGCTCTAAAACTTATCCCAAGGTCACGGTCCTTATTTTTTCTTCTCCTGGTCTTCTTGTTTATGCTTCTTGTTTTCATCTTAGACCCAAGTCGTAGGTGATTGCCAACATCATGTGTTTGCACTGCTTTCTGAAACTCTCCCTACACTCTTCTTCCTCAAATTTTGTTCATTTAAAAAGAAATATTTTTTTTTTCTTTTTGGGCTTTGCCTTTCATATCTTAAATGATTTTATTTTTTAATTTTTTTAAAGGTTTTATTTATTTGACAGAGAACACAAGCAGGCAGAGAGGCAGGCAGAGGGAGGGGGGAGGCACACTCCCTGCTGAGCAGAGAGCCCGATGTGTGGCTCAATCCCAGGACCCCAGGATCATGACCTGAGCTGAAGGCAGAGGCTTTAACCCACTGAGCCACCCAGGCACCCCCCTTAAATGATTTTAAACGTTATTTGTATCTCTGATTCTTCTGTTATCTCAGGTTCTCTCTGGGTGTTGCGCCTGCTGACTCTTGCTTCTGGCTAATTTGCTTCCACGTTGAGTCTTGCGGCCCAGGCTTGTGAGCTCGTCTTCACTGGGGGCTTAGCTGTGGGCGTCCTAAGTTGCTTGTATCGAAGACACGTCTCTTCAGACAGGTTTTGTTTCTTCTTGACACCCTGCGGATGTCCTTGGCCCAGAACCAATTTTATGCCTATTTTTCAGCTTGAAAGTTCCTGGGCTGTGCAGGTATTATGAATTCAAAACCCCAAACCACATGATGACAGATTCGGGGAATGCAGATGCTCAGTGGAGACACTTTTATTCCCCCGTCAGGAATCTAGGCCAAGGCACTGTCTTTCCGTCTACCTGTGAGAGTGTCTGGCTTTTTTTTTTTCAACGTGAATTCATTTCAAGAATCTTTCTTCAAGACCACGTCAAGGATTTGTCTCCATGTGAGGGTGTCAGTTCTAGTTCTTCACCTCATCTCCTATCCTGAGGTGCTGGGCAAATGATAGAATATCTCCCTAGTTTTCAATCTAAAAAAATCATTATCTTTCAAATGATGATAATAAGACTTAACAGCAAGTGTCTGAGAGATGTGTCTGCTCTTATACGGATGTTACAAGATTCAAGTAGTAGAATAGATAAAAGGCATTTTGGGGAAAAAAAATTAAAGCACTCCATAATTAGGTTTTGTTTCTTCTTCTAGATACCATTAGCCTAGAACACATTTTTGCTAGTATTATTACTAGTATACTCTTTTCCCCAGACTCTTTGCCTTCCTTTTTCTACCATTACATCTCCTTGTCCATTTGCCTAGCTTGTGGTCAAGTAGAGTGGACTCATACTTAGGCAGAGGACAAATGGCAACCTCCGGGCTGATTTGACCTACCTGACCGAGGACGGTGATTACTGTGGCTCTGTTATTTACCTCTCTGCTCATGACCCTGTCTATCACGCAGGTTCCTCCATAGAGTGCTGGTGTTTGTAACCCTTCATCAGTAGTTACTGTTATTTTAGTTAAGTGCATTGCTTTTTTAGTTGAGGTCTTGGTAGCACGTGAACTTAGCACGTGAAAAGAGCTCTGATACTTTGGAGAACCAAAGAACTGCTACCTGAATACAGATCTTTTTTGTAGACATAGACAGCTACCTGTCTATGGCATGTCACTTTGGTATAGTTGTTCTGGAAGCTTCAGGAAACCTTTAAGTGCATGTCAACAGGGCACCCGGGTGGCTCAGTTGGTTGAGCAACTGCCTTCAGTTCAGGTCATAGTCCCAGAGTCCCGGGATTGAGTCCCACATCAGGCTCCAGCTCCACGGGGAGTCTGCTTCTCCCTCTGACCTTACCGCGCCCCCCATTCTCTCTCTCACTCTCCCTCTCTGAAATAAATAAATAAATATCTTAAAAAAAACCATATTAACAGGAACGCTGGTAGTTACAATTAAGAATTTTTACTATGTGATCTCACATGACACACACCCATTTTATTTTATAAAATCTCCAGTTTGAACAAGCCGTGTCATAAACTGGGCCACAGAATCAGCAAAGCCAGTCGTATAATGACAGACCAGCCAGTGTTAGATATTGAGGTTTTCTTGGCTTTTTATTTGAGGCCAAGCTTTCAAGCAGAGCATTGACTTTGCTTCAGGTCAGATGAAGTCATAATTTGGGCTGGGTTAGTCCTTGTTTAAATCACTTAGGTAAGGTTTAATTTGTTGAACCAAACCCTGGAACCAGTTCAGTTGACAGAAGAACATATAATTATATAACTTTTGTCACAAGACTCAAGAGAAATGTTTCATAGATACAGTGGGGATTTAGAGAGAATTTGAGGGTAAGATGGCAAGTGCTGTAGAGAGAGCAAAACAGAAAACACTTGTGAACGTCTAGTGTCCGTTCTTCATATAGTTCTTTGTGCCAATTAATACATTTGAAATGTTTTTCAAGTTTTCAAATACTGAATCTCTATTTTCACGGAGAGTGTGACATAACGATAAGAGGATTACTGTGGTTGTATATCTTTCAGAATTTTCTATGGCATAACTTTACTTTATATGGAATCGTTACATGACTGCCCTCTTTCCAGTTACTGTAATAATTGCCTGCAACATACATAGATGATGTAAATTCCAATCTAATTCAGACTTCTCTTTTTTATCCACTTAAGAGTAAGTCCAACCCTTCGTGAAACCTACTTGCCAGGCCTCCTAACAGATAGACTGATTTGAAGATATCTCCTGTCTGCCATCTGTTTTAGATGTTAATGAGTCACAAAATGCCCAAAAGCAGTAGTCTGAAAGAGACTGAGAAAGCGCTGAGGACTGGAACTGTTGGAAAACAGAATGGTGTCCTTGGGCAAATCCGAGGGTGGTTGGGTAGGTTGTGTAATCAAGCGATAACAGGACCGATGATTAAAATCAACAGCAACTTCACTGATCTTGAAACTAAAATGCATGCTGGTTTTAGGTGAAACCTCAAGGACGTAGCCTACAAACTTTGGTTACCGTGTGGAATGGTCAGGGAAGTTTGTAGAAGAAGCAGTGCACACGGACCTGTTCAGTTTGGCTGATTTACGCTGAACATCGAGTTTTCTGCTCCAGTGGGGACAGAGAGGAAGAAGACCAGTTCTTTCCCCAGTGGGGTTCTTCATCTTGGAGGGAAAATATCGCACGACTCTCTATGCTCACGGCAAATCAGCTTTGCCTGGAGCTCTCGGTGTGCTTGGGCCAAGCTTCATGCCTGCCTAGGGCTTTATTTACTGACATTATCTTGAATTCTTTCATCAGAGATTCCAGTTTACAGATGGAGAAGCAATATTTTTCCCCCTGCATTTTATCGTGTTAACAACACAATATGTTAAATGCTTTGCCAAGGACTGAGACTGAAGACTGATAGGAAAAAGTCCAATCTTGGCTCTGCTATATACCTATGAGGTCTGGAGGAAATTTCGTAATTCATTTGAGCCACAGTTTTCTCATCTGTAAAACAAAGAAGCTCTCAGCTTCAATGTCAGTATTCTCAGAAAGGCCTTGTTCTTCCTGTTTAAGGAATCTTGTTCCCATCTCCCTAGTCACTGGACCCCATTACCCTATTTTAGTTTTGGGATAGCCTTTATCACCTTCTGGGATGATGTCACGTGCCTTTGGTTTCCATGAATACTGGCAGCCTCCCCACTTGAAGGTAAATTTCATGAGGGCAAGGACTGAACCCCAAATCTGGTTCGTGGCACATGATAGGCATTCAGTAAGTGTCACATGAATGGGTGGTGAGCTAGGCGACAGTTCATAGAGATAGAAAGGAGAAGGTGACTGTACTTAATGTTTGATGTCCTTGTGAAGAATTCCGCTGTGTTCCATTAGAAAGAAAACAAATCATTGCATGCTTTGAACACTGCTGTTAAGGTAGGTAGAAGGGTTTGAGTTTTGGTTTCTGTGTTTTTGTTTTGTTTTTACCATAAGGAAGGTCTGAAAATAAATTGAATTTCTTATCCATTGCGTGATAGGCTGTCCCTGATCTGAGCGAGACTCCAACAAAAGGAGCAGGGAGACAAACACAACACGCAGACACAGGGCAGGATCTTGTGTACCTGTGACTTTGGGAGATGCAGAGAGAAATGTGTACCCAGAGCTCACCTGAGTAGGTTTTGGCCTTCACTCTCTCCTACAAGCATTAACCTCAGAGTGAGTGACGTGTTTTACTCTGCCTTTGGAAGGCACCGCCAGCCTCCACTGACTTGCTTATCTTTGCTGCTGTTTCAGGATTCTGAGAAGCGAACCCCACTTCACGTGGCTGCGTTCCTGGGAGATGCAGAGATCATCGAACTCCTCATTCTGTCAGGTAAATACCAGCTGTTCTTAAAAGTCAGGTGCAGATGCAAAGTTCAATGACTAGAAATTCAATCCCTAGATGAACTACTTCAGCGGACCCAAACAAATTTCTTTATTGTGCTCACGGAAGTGGATTTGACCAGTGATTTTATCAGTAGACTAAAAAACAATGCAAGAGGTTGTTCTCAATGAAAAATGATGTCTTTGGTAAAACATTTATGTTGCTCTGAAAGTCTGATTTCTGACTAATCAGGCCCTGTATTGTAGATGAATTCAGTAGGTGTGAATATCTTTGCATGTTTTTCATTGTTAAAAAAAATGAACAAAACTCATTCCTTAAAGCCTACACAAACAAACACCAAATGTATGTTTGTATTTATAATACATTTAAATTGGCAAATTGTGGCAAAACAATACTATGCTTTGTCTATGGACACATGACTATGACTATGTAATAAAACATGGAAGGAAAGGAAACATATCAATTTCCAGATAGTGGTTACCTCTGAGGGGTGGTTGAGTGAGAGATATTTTCAGGGAAGAGTAAAAAAGAGACTACAACTCTGTAAAATATTTTCTTTAAAAAAGATTGGAAGCAGATATGGCAAACGTGGTTTTATGATATTATTCTCTTTATTTTCTTAAATATCTCATTGGATTTAGAAATGTCAGTGCTTTCATTTTGGGAAACCTGTGTGCTTAGTACATCTCACCAAACTGGTTTCCAAAACCAGTATGTGCTTTCTCCCTTGAGTATTTGCTAGACAGATCCCCAGAATGGATCTGAGCGCACACATGTGTCTCAGTGTGGATCGCAGACTGGCTGGCTTTCCCCCTCCTCCTTTTCGTTTAGGGCGATTAAAATCTGGAGGAAATACTTCTGCCCACAGACTATGCAAAAGGCCTATACTAAGGTTTTGCCTTTGTTTGCGGTAGTAAGGGGAAACTGTAGAATTCCAAAGTAAACTATGCAAAGGTAGGAGCTAATTAATGCATGTATTCAAACAGATGTGGGGAACACTGTAGAAAAAGCAAAACAAAACCCGAGAATTGTGCTGTGATACACCAGGATGATTCACGTGGCTCTTACTTTTGTCGTGTTCATGTTCTGGAGGTGGATTTCCCAGGAAACAAGTATTCTGTGCCATACAACGCATGTGCCCTGTGCTCCTCACAATTGCACGGAGCCTAGCTTAGATTTTATGTGGCATTCCTGTGCTTTCAAGAGCAGGCCTTCCTTCTGACAATTTTAAAGATGTTCCAGGGCTGTGATCCAAGCAAACACATATTGTTTGGTACAGACACAGACTGTGGCCAAGAGCCAGTACACACCTGGCCCGTGGCCCCGGCAGTGGAAATTTGGTCCATGGAAGACTGTAGGCAGAATCAGTGGGGGTGTAAAATAAATAATTTTGTGGGATGACACTGAAGTGGTTCCAACTGTCCAGATGTACTAAGAGACATCTCAGACTCTCAGAGGAATGCTTAGTTCATGAACGTGCAAATTCAAAATTTTGTCTTGGACTCCCAAACTTTGTTTTTTGGATTGTTTGTTTTTCCACTTCTGAAGGAAGATGTTAATTCTGCAGCATGAAGTTGACCCAACTGTTTTCTTCAGACATCTGCGGGCTGCTGACTTTCGAGAAACGTGGCTTCACATCACCGTCATGTGAGATGGAGTCCAGCAGCCTCTCTTACGTGGGGCTCACCCAGTAGAGCCTGGAGAGATTGTTCCATAGATCTCGATTGGCACACCTGTGTGGTCTTAGCATTACTGAGCTGTCAGCCTCTCTAGTATAATTTGGATGGCGCGTGCTATGGAATTTTTCCTCCTCCTCATATCAAATTAGGGAGGCTTAGGGTATAGGAGAGCATTGGGGAAAGTGCTTTAGAAATTTTACTCAACTCTGGAAGCTTAGACAAACTCTTGGAATTCACATGGCTTTAATTTCCCTGAAAGTTCCTTAATTCAATTTGTATATTAAATTCCTGAAGAAATATCATGACAGGAGCAGCATGATTGCATTTCTGAGCTTACATCTGGCGCTGATGCTTCAGGGAATCCAACCAAACTGTTTTCCAATTTAATAATGAATGAGGTGCTAATGATTCCCATGTTGGACAGATAATTTAGCCTTGCCAGAATAGCCCATTACAGCTGTGTACTCCATTGTTGTATTAGCTTACGGAGCGTGGTGTAACCCAAGCCCACTCAGTTCCTACCGACATTATCTCCTAGTAGCCAGGAAGATGGAACCCTGAATGTCTCTGAGTAGAAAGGGTGGAATTCAAGCTTTCAAACTTTCCTCTTCTTACAACCACCAGTTCAAATCCTGGCTTTATTTCCAGCCCCTGCCTCTGGCTTCTGTTTGGGAACTAGCCGAGTCGGGATTAAGGTCAAGAGAAGGTTCAGAGTTTGCTAAATCGTTTGCTGGAGATACATGAATGAGACCAGGCGAACCCATCAGTGGCTAAAGAGTTAAGAGACCAGGGTTGAGCTCCAGGAAGCTGAACACAAGGAACGATGAGCCCGGTGATAGGACCCTATAGAGAAACTTGGGGTGCACAAGGGTTCAAGTCCTGGGCTGAAGGAAGAAAACTGCAAGTACCCATCTTCTAACATGCCAAGTGTTTGTGAGGTGTAACTACTCATTAAAAATGATATTCATTAGGGGCGCCTGGGTGGCTCAGTGGGTTAAGCCTCTGCCTTCGGCTCAGGTCATGATTCCCGGGTCCTGGGATCGAGCCCCACATCATGCTCTCTGCTCAGCGGGGAGCCTGCTTCCCCCTCTCTCTCTGCCTGCCTCTCTTCCTACTTGTGATCTCTCTCTCTCTCTGTCAAATAAATAAATAAAATCTTTTTAAAAAATGATATTCATTAGAACATCGGCCACAAAAACAAGTGGTATTCCTGTAAAATTATTTCCTGTGATTTTGTCAAAAGGTGACTACTGTTCTCAATGCAAATTGTTATCAGAGTAGGTGGCAGGTCATTCTTTTGATTTTTAAATGTATAATACATATTCATCCTTTTGTGGTTGTGTTTGATTTTTTTTTTTTTTTTTGGAGGTGTTTCTGGTGAAAGAGGGGTGATTAAACCAAGTAGTGCTGGTTTTAGTGTCCTCAGTGTGGTGTGATTATAAAGTAATGAGACGTTTTCTGGTGGGTGTGTCAGCTAGCTCTAAAGGCAAGTCCAAAGGGAGTTTGAAAAATGTTTTAAGTAATTGCCACAAACACTGAATTATCATACACTCTTCCAAGGTCGTTGCTTTGAAGGCCAGGGCTCCTGGGCTGTACTGGTCTGTTTGTTTCAAAGCAAAATCAATAGCAAGCTGATTTCATTCTATTATAATTGTATTTCATTTATGATCTTTCTTTCGTATTTATTTCTACAATTAAAAGTCAAATTTTGGATAACCCAGCCTTAAGAATCAGTCCTTCTCTCTGGCCTGTAAGGTTTTTCAATCCCTTAGTCTACCTTTTTCCTTTGTTTTACTTCTTCCTAGATGACAAGGCTAAGAGAACAGAAACATTGCCTCTGGGAAAGAGACTTAGTTTCCTTTACTCTTGATCTCTATAAAAAAAAAAAAATCAAGTGGTAATAGGGGTACAATGTAAGCATACTTTGTCTATAATTAGAGTAGATGCCTGACAACTTTGAGTTGGATCTTTGTTTCTGGAGAATCAGTTGTAGCCTAGCACTTTTTTTTTCTTTTAATGTTCAAGCTTCAAAATGTCCTTGGGTAAAAAGTGTTTGCCTTTAAATCATTAGACATGCAGACTCTGTGTCCTTTAGTGCACAATGGGGCCTGACAGGCAGGTAAATAACATGAAGCTTCCTTTAGAAAAATCAGTTATAAATATTCAATTCGAAACCTTCCGACGTCTCCCTCTGACATGTAAACAAGACTCTTGGACATGTTGGACGGAAGAGGATGAGGAAGCCCGTGGCAGGGGGATGACCCTGATGAAATAGGCCTTCGTCCCCGGTCAGATAACTCTGCTTTTGTCATAATAATTTTGCTGTTCCGGGAGAGGAGATTTTCCTGGCAGCTGGGTGTTTAACCTTCTGGAGGTGGATGCGTGGAGGGACGGAGACTGAAGGAAGCCACCTCCTAGATTTCTAATTATTTTTCCATTCCTCAAGTGACTTCAACGCTACACAGGAACAGTGCTGGTGTGGGTTGTTTGTGACACGCCCGGTGTGTGTTGCTTTATGATACTTAGCGAGCTTGGGGTCATTTTTCCCCTTGGAAGAATTTGAATTATTAAACGCCACTTTGGATCTACTTAAAACTGGAAGTTTTCAGAATATATAAATAATAATAGGAACAACAATACCATGTAAATGTATAAATTATAAGAAAAAACAATAGAATAGAATATGTCATATGTCATATAATATATAATAACAATATAATGGCAAAATAGAGGAAATAGGCCAAGAATATGAACAAGCAATCCTCAGAGAATGAGTTGCAAATAGCCAGTAAACAAACATCTTAGGAGATCCCCAATCTCACTATTAAACAGAAAAAATTAGAAATGGGATGCTATTTTCTCCCAATCAGATTTGCAGTATTTTAAATAATACCAAGTGTTGATGAGGATGTGGGAAATGAAGCAGTCTCATACAGTAGCTCCCTTTGGAGGACTGAGACTAAGGATTAGGACCAAACGTGTGCATGACCCGTGATGGAAGTCCATTTCTAATGGTCCGTCCTAGATAATGCTTGATGTTTGGATGAGGAATCACATTATGGATGGTCACAGCAGCACTGTTTGTATAAAGAAATATCGGAAACAAATGAAATACCCATCGATGGGGAGAATAGCTAAAAGATATAATGTGTTTGTGTGTCGGAACACACGTGGTAATTAAAAAGAAGGGACTTATACCGTAAGTGTCAACAGAGATGTCCGTTTTCTTGAATTATTGCAGAATGTTTTAAACACACAAAAACAATATTATACTGACCACTCAGCTTAATTCCCTCAATTTTCCGTGGT